AAAAAATCTGCAATTGCGTAATGCACACATTATCTATCTATCTATCTATCTATCTATCTATCTATCTATCTATCTATCTATCTAAATCTGTTCATATCTATCTATCTATCTCATTCTACGCATCTCAATTTATCTATCACCCTGTTCATATCTATCTATCTATCTATCTATCTATCTATATATATATATATATATATATATATATATATATATATATATATATATATATATATAACGCAACTGTCTTTTATTTTGCTGGGATTTTTTATCGTTTTTTCAGTCTACCCTGTCATCTTTCTTTTTCTATTCTTCTTTCCTTTTGTCTCTTTTCGCCACAAATGTAAAAAGTGAAGTGAAAAGTGCAAGTATTGCTAAATGCATCAAAAGAAAGGAAATCGTGGAGAAACGTCACCGTGAAGTATTACAGCACATAGGGAGAAGCAAAATTTCAGGATGACAAAACTATTCATTATTGACGTTTAAAGAAAAAAATACTGATTTAGAAATGAATCCATTTCGACAGAACATCTTTGATCCAACCTTGTATCGTCAATAGCGGATTCTTGAAACCTTTTAAATGCCGATACCCACCATATTTATTCTAAATCGACATTAATCTGACCAACCCCATCGGAGAAATCGGTGAAATACACTTGCAAATATTGCATTATATGCGAAGAGTGTAACGGTTAATGGCGCGAAACTTGGAAGCAGCCAACCAAGTTCAAATTCTGGTTTAGTATGTTGTGTTTACTTACATATATATATACCATTGGGAAAGGTGCAAAATATATTTATTCTTTACCCCGCTATAGGTTAAATAGCTGAGTGGACTAGGTTCATTAGCCTTGGCTGGAATTCAGTCTAGTAGAACGCCTGCTCTGAATTCAAACATGGGAGAAGGAAACGGGAAATCCATTCTCCATTTCTTTCTGAAGAAGTCATGCGCAAATAAAAAAAGGAATCTATACCATGATCCTCTACGATGTGAATGGACAAGGACTTAAAAATTAGACAGGACTACAAAAATTTATTGGAATACTGTATGAAATGTCTTCGTTAATTTTGGACAATTTTGGAGTCAGTCAGTTATGTGCCATGCGTGATACACGCTTAGACGATCATGTATCTTTCGATACATGACTGACGAGGCAGATTTTTTCCCGCAGTAGGTTGTCGTTTCTTTCTGCGGTAGACCGGTTGTCATCCAAGGCTAAAGAACCCAGTCTGTATATTTACCCATAGCTTTAAGCAGAAGAGGATTCATATGCTTCCAAGGATTCGACTGGAATTCGAACTCGGCTATTCGATTCCTCAATCTGAGCCGATATCCAATACTCTACCGTGTCTCCTATTTTCGGGGTACTGAATACAAAAAAAAATATCCATTTTCCACAATTAGCTGTAGTTGTCTCGGTTTTATACTACATGAAAAATGTCCATAACTGCGTTCTTCTTCTTTGCTTAGCTTTTTGAAGGCATCTTTCTCTATCCTAATGCACTTTCGAATTTTTGTGCTGCACATTTCGTTCTCTGTTAAAAGACTTCTCAGATATTCAAATTGTTGTATTTGTTTGATTTTGATGTCACTGTAAATGTAAAAAAAAAAGTTCATTTGAAGTTTAAACTCAATCTTAATAAGAAATAAAACCTAACTGAAATATGAAAAAAAAAAAAGACAATAAATGATTAAAATCCAAATCTTGAAAGCAATTGGCAGAAATGGCAAGAATTTTATCTTATTTTTGTTGAATGCTTGATCGATTTGTTCTGTTTTAAGTACCAGCAGTCGTCATCTGTCTTCCTTTTGTTCCATGATCCTCGATATGGTTCTTCTATAAACGGTAATGTCTGGCTGGAATCTCTCATGTTTCTCAACACTAACATCACCTAAATTATATCACTGTCAAACTCATATTTCTATCACAAATGTCTGACGCAGACTATGTACAATGATTATATCCAAAAACTTTATATTGTTTCCATTCACAAGTTAGAACAATACAATTCGATTGTTATCATCATCATGCACATGCATTCTACCCAAAGGCTTTATAATGTTTTCATTCATAATGTAGAACAATACATTTACACTGTCATTATCATAGGGCATTATCGTAATATAAAAACGATGTATTTGAGCAATCAAGAATTCAATAAATTTTTTGTAGGAGGCGTTCAGAATTCTTTTGATAATTATGGGAAATTTAGTTATGAATATTCATTAAAATTTTTTTTCTTTTTCAGTTTTGTACAATAAAATGTGGAGCTAAGGAGAAACAACGGATTTGATTTTGGGACTCAGCGTCACAAGTGTATAAATGGGACAATGTTTTCTGGTGGATCTTACTGGATATCAAGATATATTCTGGTGGATCTTATTCGATATTAAGATATTTTCTGGTGGGTCTTATTGGATATCAAGGTATATTCTGCTGAATATTAATGGATATCAAGATATTTTCTGGTGGATCTTACAGGAAATCACGATTATTTTCTGGTGAATCTTATCAGATATCAAGATATATTCTGGTGGATCTTACTGGATATCACGATATTTAATGTTGGATCTTATTGGATATCAAGATATTTTCTCGGTGGTCTTATTGGATATCAAGATACATTATTTGGATCTTACGAGATATCAAGATATTTTCTGGTGGATCTGATTGAATATCACATTTATGGTGGATCTTACTGGATATCAAGATGTTTTGGTGGAATCTTACTGGATATTAAGATATTTTCTGGTGGATCTTACGGGGTATCAAGATATTTTCTGGTGGATCTAACTGGATATCAAGATATTTTCTGGTGGATCTAACTGGATATCAAGATATTTTCTGGTGGATCTAACTGGATATCAAGATATTTTCTGGTGGATCTAACTGGATATCAAGATATTTTCTGGTGGATCTACTGGATATCAAGATATTTTCTGGTGGATCTAACTGGATATCAAGATATTTTCTGGTGGATCTAACTGGATATCAAGATATTTTCTGGTGGATCTAACTGGATATCAAGATATTTTCTGGTGGATCTAACTGGATATCAAGATATTTTTCTGGTGGATCTAACTGGATATCAAGATATTTTCTGGTGGATCTAACTGGATATCAAGATATTTTCTGGTGGATCTAACTGGATATCAAGATATTTTCTGGTGGATCTAACTGGATATCAAGATATTTTCTGGTGGATCTAACTGGATATCAAGCGACATCTTAGGACTCCAGTACTTTCCACATTCTGGTGATTTTAGTATTTGGGTGTATCATTGTTTTTAAATAAGAGAAATGTCTAGAAAGCTTTTGTATTTAGTTTCATACCAACGTAAAACTCTACATTCCCAGCTATACAGCGTGGTCCGAAAGTTTTGTCACCCCTACATAGTGTCATTTTCTATTTCAACGCTCTGTGTTCATGTACTCTCTCAAGGAGAGAGTTTCATATGAACGATACCAGAATATCCATCAGTTTGAAGGATGCCGTTCGGAGAACCTTTGCAACAATCAACAAAGCACGGCTCCGTAAAATATCACACAAGACATGGCGCCGCATCATTTTGTGTCACGAAAATGATTGTGTTCATACAAACCTTCTCGATGTGTGACATTGTCAATGAAAGTGAATAAATTGGATCCAGTACATGGGCTTTGTATTGTTCTTCTATCGTTCTCATTACTTTTACTGACAAGACTTTTGGACCACCCAGTAGTTTAAATGCACCCTTTAGAAAAAGAGCTCCCTTTCAAATACTGATTGCAGGCCGTAAGAAAGAATAGATCGGCCGGAACGTGGTCTACAGAAGGAAACATAAAATATTTATAATCCGAACATTTCTTAATTATGATAAATTATAATTAGGAGGCGGGATTATGATTTATTACGTTAGTACAACCTGTGTGAGAAGAGGTCGGATGGACCTACTGTTGGCCACCATTTTGTACAGGGTGGTCTGGAAAGTCTTGTCCCCCCGCACATAATATAATTTTCTATTTCAACGCTCCGTAGGGTATTATTAAGGAGAGAGTTTCATATGAACGATACCAGAATATCCATCAGTTGAAGGATGCCGTTCGGAGAACCTTTGCAACAATCAACAAAGCACGGCTCCGTAAAATATCACACAAGACATGGCGCCGCATCATTTTGTCACGAAAATGATTGTCTTCATACAAACCTTCTCGATACGTGACAGCATCAATGAAAGTGAATAAATTGGATCCAGTACATGTGCTTTGTATTACTGTATTACTTGTTTTTCTATTGTTCTAATTACTTTTAGTAGAGGGCAGCAAAACTTTCAGATCATCCTGCAGATTATAATGAAAAATATTTAAACAAAAGATCTATAGGCTGCAATGGGGGTAGGCGGCGACAAGACTTTCGGATCGCCTTATACAAAGAGTATTACCTACATCTGGACTTAAAAAAAATCTTAAAACTTAAGAATGATTTTTTAATAAGTATCAGCGTGGTCCGAAAGTCTCGTCACCCCTACATAATATAATTCTCTATTTCAGTTGGCTGACACGTTAATGATGGCATCCATACAGACCTTCTCGATGTATGACAGCGTCAATAAAAGTGAATACGCTGAATCCAGTACATGAGCTTTGTATTACTTGTTCTTCAATTGTTGTCATTTGTTTTTGGTAGGGGTGACAAGAATTTCGGACCACCCTGTATGGTAAATAGCAGGTCAGAGTAGTCTTTCTCGAATACGGCTTAGAAAGCCACCGACACGAGAAAGACTAGAATTGCAAAGAAATATAGAGAAATCAATCCATGATATTTCCGAAGATGTCATGGCAATTCATTGGAATTTCTGGAGATTCAAGATTATCTACATTCTGAAAGTATCAGACAATAACGTAACACAATCGTTCAATTAGGAACCTTTATCTAGGCTCGAACCCTGAACTCTGGTACAGTCGGAAAGTACGTAGCTATTTCAATAACAATGTTTTCTGCTTTTTCTACGCACTAAAGCTTACGCTGAAACACCGGTTCTCGTACGATCACCGAAGGTAAGCAACGTCGAGCCTGGTCAGTACCTAAGTGGGTAATCGCTTGGGAACACCAGGTACGGTGAGCTTGGATGTGCGGGTGGTGTAATGGATCACAACTCGTAATGGGAATCGGAGAGGCGAGTTTCAATTGCAGTTAGGTGCGTTATATTCACTCGTTGGCTCGTTATTACTAGAAAATTCCATTGAGAAAACAATAAATTCATCTGTTCTCCCCCCAGCTATGGGTTAATATTAGCAGTACCTTTATCTCCCCAAATTTTCTTACAATCAAAAATATTTTCTGATTTTAAATAATTTGAAAAATGTTGATAAGCCGTAAAAAAATCACTCAATCAATTAATTTACTAAGAAAGCTGACAAGTCGAGAATTACATGCAAAAAAAAATACATCAGTGAAATATCATGGACTGATTAATTTAAGTTATGGGAACTATTTATATATATATATATATATATATATATATATATATAATCGATTCTCCCGTCGGGTTCGACGTATGAGGGTCAAGCAGATCAGTTTCCAGGAAACTGAAAGCCCGACACCGGCACATGAGATTCGATTATAGTGGTGAAGGTTTCGTGCAGGACCATCCACACTTTTTGAAGGGACGAATACAGAGACCTGGTGCCACAAGGTCCCCAAACAACCCACCTCAGGTTTTGAATTCAGAGTTGTCCTTCTCCTAGACCAGTTGCCATCCAAGGCTATAGAACCGTCCTGCCTCTCCCTCCATAGCTGGAGGGAGAAGAAGAGGATTCACACCTTTACCAAGGGTATTAGCACGTAAGTGAAATGTAATGGATTCAATCTGGATTCGAACTCGGCTCTGCGATTCCACAATCCAAGCCGATATCCATTACCCCACCGTGCCTCCATGTATATATTCCATCCTAAGTAGAGGCAAGCGGACCTCTAGCCACACTGACGAGCTATGATACAGCGGAACAGTCTGTCTGATATTGACAATATATATATATATATCCAAGTAAGATGAGAACGAATATAGTACAATTCCAACATTTCGTAACATTTAATTTAAAAGAGGGCTCAATACAAACTAGAGCAATATTCTTTATTTTAGGATATTACACCCAAAACATGTAAAAAAAAAAAAAAAAGTCTACACACAATCGCCTGATGAGATGCGTTGTTTGTGCATCGAAACTGTGTAGCGATTTTGACATGTTTTCGATGTAATATCCTAAAATAAAATATATATATATATATATATATATATATATATATATATATATATATATATATATATATATATGTGTGTGTGTGTGATTATGTGTGTGTCTAAACTTCTGTTCACACCATATCAAATGTCAAGAAATTAAAATCCAGAATAAGTGCTGAAAGTCATAATTATTTCCAAAAATCTTCTTACAATCCCAAAATATTTTCTGGTTTTAAATAACTCGCAAAAAGTTGATAAGCCGTAAAAAATCAAATCAATCTATGCTCTAACTAAAATGCAAAGATAGATTTAAAATTGTGGCGTCAGCTGTTATTTGCACTTCACAACGTAAACAATGATTAAGCTAAATTTTAGCCTAAAATCAGTCGATTCACTTTTATATATTGACCTTAAGTTCACGGTACAGAGTTCAGAACTCTGCTAAGTGATCTGCCATCTGTTTAGATATTGAAGCTACTCTCTGTTAAACATTTCTTTGATCACTGAAACAATGGCTTTTACTTTGAGACGATGGGTTGGGAAGATTGTTTCAGGCAAAATGATTGGATATTGCTTCATTTAGATTGGACTATCTTTAACAAATGGAATAATTTATTTTCCTTTTTGTTTTACGTTGTTTCGGCTTTCATTTTTCTTTCATTCGTTTTATCTTCTCTTTTTCGTTTTGTATAAATGTTTTTAATCTACATATTTTTGATATTCTTCTTCTTTCACTTATTGTATTTCTTTGTTTGAAAGAGAACAGGGAAATATTAGAGTTCCCCGGGTAAACTAACTTTCTTTCTTTCTTTCTTTCTTTCTTTCTTTCTTTCTTTCTTTCTTTCTTATTTGCTACTATTTTTACAGGGTAAAACGACTCCTTTCACAGAAAGAAGATGATAGAATGGATCGAAACAGTATGGTAACAAAAGCATAAAGAAAAATAATATCTCTTCTGCTGTTATTTATTTATTTATTTCAAATCGTATCCAACATTAACCGCCTCTAAATCTCAATCCCTACGCTATAACCATTCTGCTACAAATATGAAATATAAGAAGGTAAGCTTTATGTAAGTAAATAGATAAATTTCTTAAAGCAGAGTTTCACGTCAAATAAATTACTTCGAGGTCTCCTAAGCTGATGACTCTATTTTTTTGTTGAGTCTTTCTTTGACATGGAGTGAAACAATCTCGTCGTGAGAGAGGACTTTAAAAGAATAATGACGGGAGACAAACTAACGAAACAATGACGAAACACGCCTAGAAATTAACTGTGGTTTGACTCGTTCAACAAGTCCCACTCGTCGAAGCAGAGACAATGAGAGTTGTGTTGAACAAAAAAGTGTGAACATTTATTACTAGAACAGGAACAGTAATGAGAAAAGAATGGTATCGTTTGTTATAATATGTCAAAAGCGGGGGTTGTCGGCAGTCTAATGGTCAGCGACTCCGAAAGATAAATCAGTGTGCTGAGTTTGAGTTCTGGTCGAGTTCTTTACGTTAAACGCCTCTGAAAGAAAGAGAGAAAGAAAGTAGACATAACTATTCAAAAGAGGGAAAGAATGCAAAAAGATTGAGAAGAAAAAAGGGAACAATGCAAAAGAAAGAAAGAAAGAAAGAAAGTGTTAGGTACATGAAAGAAAGAAAGAAAGAAAGAAAGAAAGAAAGAAAGAAAGAAAGAAAGAAAGAAAGAAAGAAAGAAAGTAGACATAAGTATTCAAAAGAATGAAAGAATGCAAAAAAGATTGAGAAGAAGAAAAAAGGGAAAGGTATGAGGCAGTAAAGAAAGAAAGAAAGAAAGAAAGAAAGTGTTAGGTACATGAAAGAAAGAAAGAAAGAAAGAAAGAAAGAAAGAAAGAAAGAAAGAAAGAAAGAAAGTAGACATAAGTATTCAAAAGAATGAAAGAATGCAAAAAGATCGAGAAGAAAAAAAAAGGGAACAAAGCAAAAAAATAAAGAAAGTGTTAGGGATATAAAAGAAAGAAAGAAAGAAAGAAAGAAAGAAAGAAAGAAAGAAAGAAAGAAGGAAAGAAAGAAGTATTCAAAAGAAAGAAAGAATGCAAAAAGATTGAGAAGAAGAAAAAAGGGAACAAAGCAAAAAAAAAAAAAAAAAAGAAAGAAAGTTTTAGGGATATAAAAGAAAGAAAGAAAAAAATGCAAAAATATTGAGAAGAAAAAAAGGTGAGAGCGATATAAAGAAATGAAAGGCGGTAAAATACAGGGATAAGAAAAAAAGAAAGAAAGAACGAATATATAAACATTAAAAAAAAGAAAGCCTGCAAATTGAATGAGAAGAAAGAAAGTAAGATCGAGATATAAAAAAAGGGGGACATTAAAAGACGCAAAGATATAAAAGAAAGAAAGAAAATACAGATTAAAAAAGAAAGAAAGAAGTTAAAAATAGAAAGTTATATAGAGACAAAGAACAAAGTGGAAAACAATGATGTAAAAAAAGAAAGAGAGGAAAAATAATCTAAAAATAAAGGCGGGTGGATTTTTATTCACTGAAAGTGAAAGAGAGAGAAAGAAAATAGGAGAAAGCGATAAGTTAAAAAAGAAAGCTATGAATCCATTTAACATACCCCCCCCCAACCCGTCTCCAGTTGTGGATTAAATCGCAAGGTTGACTGGGTTTCTTTTTCTTGCTAGTTTTCTTCTTTTTGTGCCGTGTCATCTCAAGGCGTAGTCGATCATGGCTCTCCACATTTTCGCGTCCTTTCTAACTCTTAATAAATTTAGTCGTTTTGTTATTTCTCTTAAACCTTGTTCTACCATATATTTACTTAAACTCACTAAGTATGTTAAGTGGTGCTTTCCTTTGTCTCTCTTGCCTTTAATTTGTCCTGTAAGTATCAGATTTTCCAAGCCCTCTTTCTTCAGTATGTGCCTTAAAAATTTCAACCGTTTCTTCCTGATGTTAAGTATAAGTTTCCTTTTTGTTTTCATATTGTCGTTACGCACATGTTAGATCTATGGTATCCTCAACATCTTTGTGTAGAACCACATTTCTGTTGCTTCAAGTTTCTTCTCCAACTTCGCCATTCTAGAAGACATATATCGCGTAACAGTTTGGTACTTACTGTTTTCCTTTTTTCTAGCGAAATTTTTCTATTTCTTAATACCCTGCTTAGCTTTTGGAAGGCATCTTTCAGTTATCCCAACGCGCCTCCGGATTTCAGTGTCGCACTTTTCATCCTCTGTTAAAACATTTCTCAGATATTTCAATTTTGGTACCTGTTTGATTTTGGTATCCCCGATTTGTAATTTGCATTTGGGGTTGTCCCTTTTGTTAACACACACGCGCCAAACTGTCGTCTTTTCATTTCTTTTAAGTTTTTGTTCTTGTTTGATTTTGGTATCCCCGATTTGTAATTTGCATTTGGGGTTGTCCCTTTTGTTAACACACACGCGCCAAACTGTCGTCTTTTCATTTCTTTTAAGTTTTTGTTCTTGTTTGATTTTGGTATCCCCGATTTGTAATTTGCATTTGGGGTTGTCCCTTTTGTTAACACACACGCGCCAAACTGTCGTCTTTTCATTTCTTTTAAGTTTTTGTTCTTGTTTGATTTTGGTATCCCCGATTTGTAATTTGCATTTTGGGCTGTCCCTTTTACTAACTACCTGGAATGATTTTCCTGCCCTAAAAACACCACTGCTGCTATGGCAGTGGTTTGGGGTCAAGTGAGTGTATGACGTGCTCCAGTGAATCCCATTAGGTTACGGGAATCGTAAAATCCAGAATACTATTGAGTTTTCTGTTTAATGACATATCAACTCTGTCGATTATTGAAAATATTTTTTTACAATGATGCTTACCCTATACAAGGCCTAAGAATTACTCGAGGTAGAGGATTACAGAGTATGAGGCACCACCCCAAGGAATGTGATAATGCCATCAAAGGACCACCGGAAATGAAAGAAAAAGAAAAGATTTTAGGAGGAAACGGAAATACAATTCTAAACAGAAAACAAGAGATAAACCTCTACTCCTGTTCAAAAGACCGGAGAGGAGTATGAAGCGGAAAATAAGCGAACTTATCTACTCCTGTTGAGGAAAAAAGGTAAATAAATAGTAAATAATATTTTAGAGAAGTTAAAAGTATAGAGTTGAAGTTGACTTCAGAATGAACCAGAAACCCAATCATAAAGAGGAAACAAGAGATAAACCTCTTCTCCTGTTCAAAAGAAGTGTTTTTTATTTAAATTATATATGTTATAGTAATTTACCCACGCACACACGGACTCTCCCATTTATAAATAGGAGCAGGTACTGCCTTTTAGAAGGTGAAGTTTCCAGCAGTCAGCTCTGACAGTCGGACCAAACATTTTTGCTGTAACACTCTCGTTTGTATATGTTTGTATTACTGTTATGCTCCAGGTCTGCTTGCAAAAGATACGCCAAGCATGAACGATGACCGCTCCTGCTTCAACCCAGATACGTGACGGGAACTGGTCACGTGCTCAGTTGCGTAGCGATCATATTACCACAAGCGCTCATGAGACTGATGCTGCTGTTGTTACTACTACTGCTACCTCTGATGATGATGATGATGATGATGGTGATGGTGATGGTGGTGATGATGATGATGATGATGATGATGATAAATATTTGATGAAGATAAAATTTTCTGGCCGGGCTGCTCAGAAGTGTTTCAAGTAATTTTCCTTTGGAAATGAGTTACTCGAATTTCACTTTTTAAACGAAGGTTGATAAGTATGAGAGACTGGGAATATGGATGAATTGAATTTGCTACAAACATATTAGGTGCTACCATATTATGTGCTAGCTTGTAGCTTGTAGAACACAAAACGATGAAAGTGTGTCAAGTCGAGTATGGCAGTTTTGCTTCAGTGCCCAATAACTTGATAACGAACTAACACATGCGAAATGAAATGAAGATGCATTTATTTCTGGTCTCTATACATATGAAGTTAGTTTAATTCACCACCCAGGATATGACACATTAGCCCATTTCACTAACATGTGTGTCGCCCATCTTGTCGATCTGCTCTGGAGCGGTTAATGCCATCAGTTGACCGGCTAACCAGTTAAAAGAGAAAAGAAGAGGAAGATTGGGTGCACGCATTTAGTAAATCTTAATGCGCTGTCTTGATTGGTTCATTTTGTCGTTATACACTTTCGGGTTCCTTTCTTTTCTGAGGTGTTCCACTTGACAATAGTTGCTTGATTACTTTCTTTGTTACTTCACAACAGAATTATTTATAGGTCACTGCAGCAAAAAGAATAGATAATTTGTTTTTGTATAGCTATTTTTGAATATGTGACTTTTGTATTTTTTGCAACTGTATTCGTGTCATTTTAATCTGATTTCACTACAAAACTATGCGTCGAAACTTTCGCTGAGGAGGATAAAATGTACATTATGAAGTTGGACACTCAAAGAACTCAATGGATAAAACAAAAAAATAAAAAAATAATAAGTAGGAAATTAATTGGCAACCAATTATAATACGATTACAACGAAGCCATTTAGTATATATTTTCTTCCTTTATGTCGCTTCAGGACGCGATTCGACTTCCTATCTCTCATAACTCTCTAAGCAACGTTTGACATTTTACCATCTCTCTTTGTCCCCGATCTGCCGTTCATTCTCATAAACTTTAAGGTAGACAGCTCGATGTTTCTCTCTGTCCCCCTTTTTTTTCTCCAGTATGTCTATGTGAATATTAAATTCTACAAGTCATCTTTCCTCGTTATGTGTCCCCGAAGATTCATTTGTCTCCCTCTGATTGTAAGTATGACTGTCCTTTTAGTTCATAAGCCCTTGCGTATTAGTGGCATTCCCGCCTTGCTTTGGGGCAGGGGGGGTGAAATGATTAAAATAAAACGCAACTGCGTGAAGGTCACATTCACAATGATCAAATTTGTTAATTCTTCATGTTATAGGTACTTTTTTTTTGCCGGATTAAAGGGGATTAAAGTAGACGTATTTGCAAGTGTAGCTTTTGGTTGAAATCACAACCAACTCAACCGTTTGTCAAATATAATCATTGCTTTGGCGTTTGAGAATGAAATTTGGGACGTTGTATATGGTTTTCTAAATTCACAACACGCTTGTCCGAGATGAAATACAGTGTGTGGCAGAAGTGCCTTCCACATAATAGTAAGGCATTAGTGGCAATGGCGTCTTCCTCGAACTAGTGTCTTACCATTATATGGAAGATATTTCTGGGAGGTATATGTGGGTAGTATTTCTGCCGCACCCTGTATTATAACGAATTGAATTCGGATAACTGAAAAATATTTAAGTTTTGTTTTCTATCACACGTTCGGATAATGAAAGTCCGGAAAATCGAGGTACAGATAATTGGTGTAATAATATACCAAAAGTACACAATACTTAAGTTTGGGGACGAAATTAATTTCTCACGGAGGTCTGGAAAATCGAGGTACGGATAATTGCGGAAGTACTGTAATCGAAATTACTCATTCTTCATGCCATGTGTGCTTTGTTTTTTGTTTTTTTTTAGTATTTTTTTTTTTTTAGTGCAAAATATCTTTCATCACCACTTTCCGTTTCCTGCAATTTCCATCATTTCTTAACAAGAAGAAGTTGGTTGGTTGGTTGTTTTTGTTCAGAGTCATATCGGCCTGGGGGGGCGAATAGATGGATTCCTACTTTCTCCAGTGGATTTAACGAACCCAAAAAGAATTGGGACTCGTTATCCATTACACCACTCACATATCCAATCATATCGGATCTGGTATTACCAGGAGGTCAGATATCTTGCTATGACCAGGCTCGACGTTGCTTAACTTCGGTGATCGGCGGTGTTTCAATACTATATGGCCGTAAGCCAGTCAGATTTTAAGATGCAATTAAAGTTTTCGCATTCAAATTTGTCTTAACTAATTAGTGTGAGTAAAACTTTCAGTATAGGATAAATATTTAAGATAACTTCATTCTCTTTTCTAGGAAATCAGAGTAATCAATAAAGCCCTTATGAAAGACATACACACATCTCTTCCATCTATTGGGATAAATGTACCATTCGTCCTTGCATTGAATACTGTTGCCATATATGGTCTGGTGCCCCCTCTATTAAACTCGAGGTCCTAGACAAAATACAGAGACGAATATGCAATGTAATAGGTCCTGATCTGGCATTTTTACAGATGTGATGTGGCTTACCTCTGTCTCTTCTGCAAATATTTTCATCGCAATTGCTCTGACAAGCTATTTTCATTGGTGCCCCAACTGCATGAATTTAAGAGTGCTACTAGATTGGCATTTCGGTCCCACACTTTTACTGTCGAAAAAGTTAAATGCAAACGCCTCTTTTACTCCAACAGCTTCTTCTCATCGCACTTCCCAACAGTGGAACTCCCTTCCTCTTACTTGCTTCCCTGATAACTATAATCTTCAAATGTAATGTCAATCAACATCTTCTGATGCCTTGATCTTGAACCCCGTCATTCTCTATGTCCTTTCCTCGAACGCCCCTCTTTACTCTTGTTCTCGCTCTCTGTAACCCTTTGCGTGCTAGTGGAACTCCCGCCTTGGTTGGGGTGGAAATAAATAAATAATAACAGGGCAGACTGGGCTCTGTAGATTTTTGGTGTCAGGCAAAAGAGATCCCAACGTGAATTGGAACTCGGTTCTCTGACTTCTCATCACCAGCACATCACAGCACCTAGTATTATCAAGCAGGTCACCCATCTAGGTATGACCAGGCTCGACATTGCTTAACTTCGCTGATCGTACGGGAACAGGCGTTTCAACGTGATGTATCCGTTTAGTCTAGAAGAAGACGGTAGAAACTAGATTTAAGCCTTTTTTTTTTACACAGTCAAATTCCTGAAATCTTTGGTTAGCGCCACATGTTTCTCAAGCTTAGCGTAGCTTTGTACAAAAGCACAACTGTTTGGAATCGGGTAAGGATCGAACCCAGTGCGCTAGCCATGTCTATCGTAACTATCGCTTGAACCATCTCTCTACGGTAGGCGTCCCTATCTGTTGTTTTAATTATGCCTCATTTTTTTAATTTTTTTAAAATCTCTATCACCCCAAGAAAGGCGGTAAAGCCACTAAGACATACGGGGTTACGAGGTGTAGAAGAATTAGAAAGAAAAACATTAATAATGAGCGCAAAGAGGAAAGAGTAATCAGGAGGAGAGTAGATAGCGACTGACATTGCATTTAAATTTTTACTAGAAAGCATGGAGTCGGAAGGGAGTTTCACAAGCGGGAAGTGCTAGAAAAGAAACCGTTAGCATAGAATTTATGGTTACATCTAGCCAGCTTGTGGACTCGTCCAATATCCTTACCTTTCCAACCCTAACAAAAGCACAGTCCACATCGTACGCCTACGTACCTAAAAACTTCAACCAATAAAAACGGCAAGAAACGAAGCAAACAACCCCATTGGTCAATCACTTGAAGTTCACGTGCAAAACAGAAATTACGCCAAAATCAAGTGAGCCATATTTGGAAATTCAAAACGATATAAAAATAAACGTAGACAGCCCCAGACAGTCAGTCTCACGAATTCGCAGAGTACTTTCCAATATACTCCACGCCACTACGAACCACAATTTTGCCGCGCACGAAGATACATCGCTGACTCATATTCGATCATTCATTAATCAACTCTGTGAACACTTTTCTCAACTTTGCTTATGTACAGTGAATAAAATTCACTACTTTAAAATAAGCAAACATCGCCAGTCTAGTACTGTGCTTAAATTCATAAAGTCTAGTTACCATAGCGAAGAGCTCATCCAAACAATTACCATTAAAGTATTTATAGAAAAGACGCAGAGAGACATCCTTATGGCGGTGGGCAAGTGATTGAAGCCGAGCCGCCAGATCAGGACCCATAATATTGCTGATTCTTCTTTGGATCTTATTAAGGAGCTCCAGGTAAACAGCAAGGGCACTGAACCATATATGGTAGCAATATTTTAAGTATGGACGAATGGTAGACTTAATGATATGTAAGATTGATTCAGGACAGAAAATTTTCTCGCCCGGCTTAGTGAACCAAGTTTCTTAGCAGGTGATCTAGCAATGGTTTCAATATAGTCTTTCCACTTCATCTCAGCTGGGAACGTTAACCTGAGAAGGTGCACCGAGTGACATTCTTAGATTTTCTCCTTCTTGAATTTGTTCTCTGTTTCCATCCGTTACTAAATTCTGTTAATGTTCATTTCTATAACAAAACTGTTCCCTGCCGATGATTACTTTACTTTCTTTTTTTTTTTTTTTTTTTTTCGTGAGTGTGGAAAAAAAAAACAGACTTTTTTATTTGTTTGTTTGGTTTGTTGTGTCTTGTTTGCACTGGTTCAACCAATCGACCGGAAGTGTTTCCATCATCCGGGCTACTGACACAGAAACGGAAGTGCATGACAACAACTTACAGTATGGAGCGAACTGAAATCTCTCACGCCATTCCTTGGTCGTGAGAAAACGATTGCAACAATTGCCCGACATGAGACGATGTGCGACTACTTCCCACTATTGTACTGACACTGACACACACGCACACACACACACACACACACACACACACACACACACACACATATATATATGTACATATCAGTCTGTTCCTTCTTTCCTTCCTTTCTATCTATCAATCTATCTCAGTTTGTATCTATCTATCTATCTATCTATCTATCTATCTATCTATCTATCTATCTATCTATCTATCTCAGTTTCTTTCTTTCTTTCTTTCTTTCTTTCTTTCTATCTATCTATCCTATGTATTTGCGGGGGTGCATGCATACGTGTATGTATGCATGTGTCTTTACACTGTCAGTGGAGACACAGGTTCGAATCCTACCATTCAGGCTGGTAGACGATAATGAATATACTATTTAAAAGTATAGCGAAAATCGGATCGTCTACTCAAATATGGGCATCCACTAAAAATAACGTCTAAGTAATAAAAATATACTTAAGTATGAATATGGGAATGTACATCAATTTGTTCATATGTATTCATACACACACACACACATACACGCACATACACACATATATATGTGTGTGTGTGTGTGTATGTGCGTGTGTGTGTGTGTGAGTGTGTTTGAACGTGGATTTTTTAAAATAAAAATATGGCGTCTTTTTTGAATACAAATGTCCACTCAAATACCGTTTGAAGTAATAAAATTATCGGATTAAAAATAAATCCATTAACTCTTTACAAATTGCTTTGTTTACGGTTCGGGTGCGAAACTATGGAGATATGGATCTTGCCGAAGAACAAACGTTCTCCATTAAAATCTCTCGAATACGAAGGCCGATAGACGTAACACACACTGTTTTTTTTTTTTTTTTTTTTTTTAATGGGGCGTCTATATCAATTACGAGTATCCACTAAGATGACATTTCAAGTAATAAAAATCTTAGATTAAGAATAAATCCATTAATTAGAAATTGCTTTGTTTAAGTTTCGGATACGAAACTGAGAAGATATGGGCTTTCGAGAAAAACAGTCATGAGATGTGCTTTCCTTAAAAATAGAAAATAGAGTCTTCCGTTCCTAGAAATGGGGCGTCTATTTCAAATACGAGCGTCCGCTAAAATAGCGCTTGAATTAATGAAAATATCGGATTAAAAATAAATCCATTAATATATATCGGAAGTTATATATATATATATATATATATATATATATATATATATATATATATATATATATATATAGATTGATAATATTAGTGGTAAATATACATATACATATTCAATCATACATCTAAAATATATAAATATATATACATACATACATACATACACATACATATATATATGTATAAAAATAATTTCAAGAGGATAGAATCCAGGTAGAACTCATATGTCCAGGACAGAGTAAGAATATAATAAAAAGGCTTAAACACTAATATTCGATGGTCATAATTGATTCCAATGGAATAAATTATGACCATGGAATATTAGTGTTTAAGCCTTTTTATTATATATATATATATTGTTAAATATAACAGCCAGCGAATGTCTGTTATGGTTTATCATGAGCCGTTCCCAACGTCGTATAATGGCTTTAGTTTCAAGAGAAAATAAAGACAAAAACTGTCCAACATTTGGATATTTCTTTATTATATTGGTCGTCGTTTTAAGGTTTCGGCTCACATGAGCCTTCATCAGGGTGGTTATATGGATATAACAATAGAGATGTCCAAAGTCAAAGATGACATTCTGTTTTGAAGTTTTCTATGCGACGATAACAGTCGCGGAATAGCAGATGCAAGTCATAAATTCATAATGCAGTTCTATGACGTTTCAGAAAGAAATGTTATCAACAGAAGCATATGTTGAAATGCATTGTAATATGTTTTGACTGGTTTGAAATGTCATTTTGTTGAGTGTTGATTGCTTTGTTTTAATGTAGATGCCTTAAGCTTCTTTTTACGGTGTGTATGCGTGAATATTGTTGTGTTATCAACTAATATCTGTCTAATTCTATGTACATGGCTATGTTTTTTTTAAGAAGTGTTGTTTAATGTAACTAAGATCAGAAATGTGACAGGTAAGACTATGGGAGAGTGTGGTTGTAGTAAAACCAATGTATGCAGTGGGTTTATTATTGGTATTAGAGATACAGTCTCCGAACTGGCATGTAAACTGATACACTACATTGTTTTTTGTTTTTTTTTTGGGGGGTGCAGAGGATTTAGTTGTGTAGTTGTATGGTTATTAGAGACTATGGGGTCAATTGTTTTAGAATTTTAATATATGGTGAGGTTAACGTGTTTATTATTATTAATGGGTTTAACATTTCTACTTTATATCTACACATTCCCCAAAGGCACACACACACATGCCTACAAACTCACATATATACAGTGGGTAGCAAAAATATTTAACACATTGGTTTTTCTTACATATCTCAAAAAATAACAGATCAATTTCAACGAAATTTATAGGAAATATTTAAACGAACATTGTCGATCAACACATAGAAGGAAAATTTAAAACCACTGATTTGAGAAACATTTATTAACAATAAATAAAATAACCCATATGCAAAAGTATTTAACACACTTTACTAATATTTAGTACAGTAGCCTCTTTTCTGCTTCACAGCCTCCAGTCGTTTCCCGTAGTCTTCAACTAGTTTCTTACAGGTACTTGTTGGTATTTTGACCCATTCTTCTTCACGAATTTTCTTCAATTTGTTTAAATTCGATGGATTTCTTTTATGAACTCCTAACTTCAATAGTTTCCACAAATTTCCGATTGGATTTAAATCGGGTGACTGGCTTGGCCATTCCAGGACATTAATGTCATTATTATTAAACCAATTCTTAGTTGTTTTAGCAGTATGCTTCGGGTCATTGTCTTGCTGAAATACAAAATCACAACCATGTCCCAAAGATGTGGCACTGTTCAAGAGTTGAGTTGACAAAATTTGAGTGTATTTTGCAGCATTCATTGTTCCTTCGATGATTTTCATTTTTCCTACTCCATTTGAGGAAAAACAACCCCACATCATAATATTTCCACCCCCATGTTTGACTGTAGGGATGGTATTTGCTGGCTCGTATTCCGCTCCTTTTTTCCTCCATACATGAGTGCGCATGTTTCGTCCGTAAAGCACAATTTTTGTTTCGTCTGAGCAAATTACTTTCTCCCAGAAATCATTAGATTCAATTTCATATTTCTTTACAAAATTCAAACGGGCTTGTACATGTCGGCGTTTCAGTAATGGAGTCTTTCTCGGTGATCTTGAAGTGAGACCTGCATGATTCAGTGATCTTTTAATTATATCTTTACTGACTTCAATTCCGGCATTTTTCAAATCATTCTGAATTTCTCGACAAGTTGAAAATGGATTTTTCTTCACAGTACAGAAAATGTATCGCTCATTAGCCTCATTTAAGATACGGGGACAACCACTCCTTTGAATGTCTTCAATAGTATCGAATTTTTTCCATTTTCGAACAACAGCACCAACTGTACTCACAAGCAAATTCAAATCTTTTTTGATTTTTCTATATCCCTTACCATCTTTGTGATTCTTTATGATCTTCTTGCGCATGTCGTTTGACAATTCTTTTGTTTTCACCATTTTCTTGCAGTAGTGGCAACAGAATAGCTGCAGTGTCTCAGAGCTGTTATCTAATAGCCAATTGAGTGTCGTGCAGTGCTGTCATTGGTCGACATATCACATCATATCAATATGGGTAGGAATCATGACGACACGTCTCTTCTAGCATAATATTTGCATTGGTGTTAAATACTTTTGCATATGGGTTATTTTATTAGTTTTAAATTTTCCTTCCATGTTTTGATCGACAATGTTCATTTAATATTTTTTATAAGTTTCGTTGAAATTGATCTGTTATTTTTTGAGATATGTAAGAAAAACCAATATGTTAAATACTTTTGCTACCCACTGTATATATATATATATATATATATATATATATATATATATATATATATATATATATATATACGCTACGTCAGATTATACAAGTCAATAAGATTAGTATTAAACAAGAAATGCCGGTGAAATATTTAGTATATCCTTATATGTATTTGATAAGTATATCAAGTGAATTTCAGTAGATAATATCTGTTTTTATAAAACATATTTATAACTTAGTGGTGTGATATTTTATTATGCATTTCGAGGCTCGTAAATCATATTGTAAGTAAATATATAAAATAGCTTAGTTATTCAGACGTATTGCAAAATTTCACATATGCAATGATTGCCAATGGTCGCAAGAAGGATATATCCTGAAAAGATGCTATATAGGAATAAATGTCGCTGCCGACACTTGAGTTTGAACATAGATTGCCAGTGAGCAAACACAGGCGATCCCATTATTGAATTACGTGGACCACGTGGCTATAGAGGGAACGCATAAGTAGGAATTAGCTTTTCATCTAAATGATCGCTATTTCTAGTCTATCCTCTATTACTATACGGACCGCTATTCTCTACTCTATTCACTATACTCTTTCACTATTCGGATTTATATTCAAAGGCGTCTGACAATAGTATTGTTCAACGGTGTACTATAGTTGCATCTACAATTACAAAGTCTCTACTACAACGAGCATTACGAAAGTGACAACGAGTATTCGTTGACATTACAAAAGTGTCAAACGAGTGTTCGTTGACATCACAAAAAAAACTTTTTTTAAAGTTAATGCGTGAAGCGAACACGTCACGTGAAATCATGTAAAAGTGGAACAAAGATGAATAAAAAAAGAATCGTGAAAAGTAATTGAAAGCATTTCCAAGATGTGAACAAGAAAAAAAAAATGAATACCACAAATGCATTTTTATAATAAAAACATTAAAAAGAAACATTAGCATCTCCGTAATAAATTCATTAAAAATGAATTTATATTAAGCAATATATCAGATTTTTAATTATTTGATTCATTTTTTTACAGCTTATCAAGATTATTTAAAGCCAGAAAATATTTTTAGGTAATTAAAATCTTCCTTTCTTTTTTTTAAGATGATAAACATGTAGTAATACAAACCTTACTATTTAACCCATAGCTGGGAGAAGAAATGGATTCATACATTTCCCCACATTATATGCCCGTAAGTGAATATAACGAACCCTACAGGAATTGGAACTCGGCCTTCCGATTAACAATTTCGAGCACCTAGTATTCCCAAACGGTAACCCGTCTAGGTACTGACCAGTCTGAGGTTACTTAACTTCGGTGATCGTACAGGAATCGGTATTTCAACACTATATGGGTTGTCAGATTTTAAAATCCGATTGAAAGTTTTCACATTAAAATTTATATTAACCAATTGGTGTGAGTACAATTTTTAGTATAGGATGAATATTCTTATTTAAGATAACTTCACTGCCTTTTCCAGGAAATCAAACGTCCTAGGTAATACGATAAACTACATCCGCGTCCTAGGTAATACGATAAACTACATCCGCGCCCTAGGTAATACGATAAACTACATCCGCGGCCTAGGTAATACGATAAACTACATCCGCGTCCTGGGTAAGACAATAAACTTCATCCGCGTCCTGGGTATGATGATAAACTACGTCCAACAGCAAGGCCTCTGATCAGGAGGTTTTGAGGAGTGTGGAACCACCTCTTAATTGCTGGTGTTCCCAGGTCCACGGGGTGGTAGGGTCCCAGCTATGGTCAAATAGTTAACCCCCAAAATGAGGTCAAAACACTATGAAAGTGTAAAAATAAGTTTTAATAGCAGAAATACTTTGTAAAAAAATTATTACCAGCGATATATTATTTCCAGCAATACATTTTTGAAAAAAAAAATATTAGGAGCGATACATTTTGAAGAAAAAATATTACTAGCAATAAAAATTTTGTCGGCATTAAATGACCCATTGAGGATGATATGCCGTAAAACATACCAAACCAAACCAGGAAATCAAATTAATCAATAAAGCAATTGTGAAAGGCATACGTATATCTCTTCTTTCATATATGGCATAAATAGCAGGGTAGACTGGGCCTTCTACACTTGGGTTTGAACCATTTGAAACTTTGAATTTAAACCGTGGAGAAGGCAACTGGAATCGACTCCGACTTTCGCAAGAATGGGCAATAAATAACAGCCTTATGAAAGGTATATATCCATCTCTTCTCTCAGCTATATATTAAATAGAAGGGTAACATTAGCCTTCTGGCCTTGTATGGCAACCAATCTAAAAGAAGGAAAGCTCTAAATTCCGAACCGTGGAAAAGTAAACCATGAACCACGCCACCATCCTTTGCATGAAGTCAGGCCAATTCACCGATAATATGGAGAGCCATGATCCCCTACATCATGATGAGAGAGAGGGGAGAGAGAAAGAGAGAGGAAGAGAGAGAGAGAGAGAGAGAGAGAGAGTGTGTGTGTGTGTGTGTGTGTGTGTGTGTGTGTGTGTGTGTGTGTGTGTAATGAACAAACACTGAAAATAGGATTTGTGTAAATGAACGGCAGAATGGAGACTAGTAGCGAGGAGAAATATTGCTTTGGGCTACAAAAATATAGGAAAATGTGGAGCGCCATAATCGATGAATCACCTCATAGGTATAATTATAAACTTTTGGGGAAGGCATTTCTAAATTTAAATTCTCGAAAGTTAATAAAAATTTCACGCAAACGCACAGAGTACCTGCCTTAGTTCCACAGCAACAGGCGCACAACGATATGCAGTAAATACCATTTAAATATTAGATCATTGTATAATTATGCGAGTGGGAAAGTTTTATTTTACCAATTTCCGTCCTGTATTGACTGACGGGTTCACTGTTTAGAAAATTGCATATGTGTACCTTGAATGTCCTCTTTTCTGATCGTAGGGAAACAATCGCCTATGGCAAGTATTGACGACTTTTATATTATGGATTCACGTTTTTTGTAAACGTTTCTCGTTTTATATATTTTTTTTCTCTCGACATTTTGAAGCGTGGAATTTGTTTTCAAATGAGGACATCGGGCCGACAAGACATCAAGTCTTTTGATGCAAGATCTTTTTGATTTAAGTTCGGTATTGTTTTTTGTCCTCATTTGTGCTAATCAGAACAAAGGTGGAACGGGAATGAAAGGACTTATGTTGCATCAGTGGGATTGTTATAAGAAAGGGAGAGAAATTAATGGATTGAGAAAGGAAAATAAACATTAGGGATAAAAAGAAAAGCGAGGGTGGGTGAGAACGAATATTAGAGTGGAAGAAAAAAGCAGTTGGAACGGAGGAATGATGAAAAATCAGAAAAGAAAAAAAAAGAAGGAAAAATCGGAACGTCGAGGAAATTACAGATGAACGAATATTAGAATGAAAGAAAGAAAAAACGACGAATGGATGAATTATGAAAAAGTTAGAAAAAAGGAAGAAAAATCGGAACGTAGAGGAAATTACGGATGAACGAATATTAGAATGAAAGAAAGAAAAAACGACGAATGGACGAATTATGAAAAAGTTAGAAAAAGGGAAGGAAAATCGGAACGTAGAGGAAATTACGGAAGAACGAATATTAGAATGAAAGAAAAAAAAAGTACGAAGGGACGAATTATGAAAATGGAAGAATGAACATTGCAACGAAGGTAATTAGATAAAAAGCGCGAATAATGAACATGTTATGAAAGAGAGAAGAAATAAACGTCAGGAAAGAAAGAAAGAAAAAGAAAAATAGGGATGAACTGGTGTTAGAATGAAGAAAGAAAAAGATGGATGTACAAATGAAGGAAAAAGTTAGAAAAAAAAACGAAAGAAAAAATGAACGAAAAATAAAAATTTAAGATAAACGAAATGTAGAAACAAAAAATGAAGAAAAACAGGAAATAATAACCGAAGAAGTAGAAATAAAAAGGAAAAATAAAAATAAAGAAAAGTTAAAGAAAAAGACTCGAAACCAATCAAAAGAAAATGGCGAAGACAAAGGAAAACAGAAAAAAAATAATTGAAGAACAAAAAAGAATAAAGTAAAGAAAAAGGTGAAAAAAAGAAAAACAGTAAAAAAATATCTGAAAACGATATAAAAAACAAAGTAAAAAAGGAAACGTGAAAAAAGAATCGAAAAACGAAAAATAGAGAAAGAAGGAAAAATAAAATAAAAACCCAGACGAATCATGAAAAAGTGAGGAAAGAAAAATAAAGAAGAAAAATGAGGAAAGTGTGAAAGAACAAATATTATAATGAAAGAAAAAAAAAACCTGTAACGGACGAATTGTGAAAACGTCAGAAAAGAAAAAGAAATTGTAATAAAAGGAAAAAAATAACAATAAAAAAATAACTGAAAACAAAATAAAATAAAAGAGAAAAAGTGAAAAAGAATCGAAAAACAAAAAAGATAGAAAAAAGAAAAGATTAAAAAAAATAAAACTGGGAAAAAAATCCACCCTACCCCAAAAGCGAAAAATACACTCCCCCCAAACCAACGAAGAACCTAAACCATTATTAGATATTCGTTTTTGTGGAAAAGAAAACCAACAAATTAATAAAGTTTCAATAAATAAATATAAAATTAATTTGTCAGAATATATTTTTAGATTGAACGAATTTTTTTTTTTTAGATAATAATAGTTTAGTGATAAAAGTCTTACTAATTAATCCATAGCTGGGAGAGAAGAGGTAAATTCATACCTTTCCCAAAAGCATTTGTGCGTAAGTGCTTTCTGCATTATTGCAGTTGTCCTCCCCCAGAGTTCGATACTTGGAACTACGGTGTTTCAAATTTTCATCAATAAGCTTCCTGACTGCATCAATTCTCAACACAGTATCCTTTTGCTCTTGTCGTAATAGTAAGTCGATAGGGTCAAATTGGCGGCTGATCTCAAAAATGACCTACAATCTGTTGTTAACTGGGGTAAGAAATGGCTTGTTAATTTTAATGCCTCCAAAACGAAACCGCTCTCTATCAATCATCTCAGAGATCCATTTCCGCTTTCCATCAGCATGGCTGATGCTAACCCCAAGGAGAGTGATTCATTGCAGCTTTTAGTCTAATTTTTCCGCTGAATCTCCAGAATCGATCTTTCGTATTTATAAGTGTACCATTTTCCCATGCTTTCAATATGGCTACCATGTAGGGCCTGGGGCTCCTGCTATATATCTAGAGATTCTTGTGAAAATCCAAAGAAGAATCTGCAATGTTATTGGTCCTGACCTAGTATCTCGGCTTCAGTCACTTTCCCACCAATGCAATGTAGCTCCCCTGTGCCTTGTGTATGAATTCTTTCATGATAATTATCCGAATCAACTCTCCTCTATGGTACCGAGACTTTATGAATTACTAGATTGGCGGCAAGGTCTCATCAATTTATAGTCGATTTAGCTAGATGTAACCGTAAGTTCTATATTAACAGTTTCTTCACCCACCCGTCTTACTTGTCGAACTCTCTTTCGGGTTCTTACTTTCCAGCCAACTTTGATCTTTAAATATTTTCACGCAACGTCAATCCTCTGAATATTTCATTCGTTTTCTTTTGTTCTCGCTCCTTAATAATGTTTTTTTTATTTTTCTAATATTCTTTCACACTCAGTAACCTCTTGTATCTTAGTGGCTTTACTGCCTTACTTGGGATGAAATGACTAACAAAAAAAATTAATTAATATAACGAACGCAGCGAGAATTTGAACTCGGCTCATCGATTAACAATTTCGAGCCATTATCTATTACACCGCCTGTTATTGCTGAGCGGTGAACCAACGAGGAACTGACCAGGCTCGACGCTGCTTAACTTCAGTGATAGAAGAAGAAGAAGAAGAAGAAGAAGAAGAAGAAGAAGAAGAAGAAGAAGAAGAAGAAGTTGTTTTTTCTGGAAGGAGAATAATAAGAAAAAAATGAGAAGAAAAAAAAAACAACAGAAAAAAAGAAAAAAGAAGTAGAAGAAAAAGAAGACAGAAATTATAATTTATTAGCTTAGTGATGATTTATGAACAGTTACGTTGTATAAATTCCATTTATCTGTCGTATCTCTCGTTGAAGGTCGCCATGTTGTTTGATGATGTCGGCATAGAAAATGTTTTTTTCTTTTCTTTATTCTACAAGGAAAAATCTGAAGTGAAATAGGATTTAGATCTGTAATCGAGTCAAAAGAAAATGGCTGCGTAAATAATTAAAAACAAAAAATTCAATAAATGAAAAATAAATACAAATTATTTCTGGATCATATCACTCTTTCATCTTGTGGGCCCGTTCCTATTTTTACAAAGAGTTTTTTACTGGCTCTGATTGCAAGACCTACCCGCTATATTTTCTTCTTTTATGTGCATTGTTCCTTCGGGACGTGGGCGATCACGGCTTTTCACAATTTCCCGTCTTAGTTGCTCTTAATATGTTTTGTCTTTTTGTTATCTCTCCTAATCCCTGTTTCTACCAACCAATTACATCGGCTCGTTAGATAGTTTATTTGCTGCTTTCCTCTGTCCCTCTTGCTTTCAATAAGTTTTGTGATTGTTAAAATCTCTAAGCCCTCTTTCCTCATTATGTGTCCTAGACATTTCAATTGCCTCTTTCTTATTGTAAGCATAAGGTGTCCTTTTTGTTTCTATTTTCCCTAAAACATCCTTGTTATTTATATGTTCAGACAGGGATTCTCAGCATCCTTCTGTAGAACCACATTTTTGTTGCCTTAGATCTCCTTTTTCTTTGTATTTGCATTCACTTCCATATAGGGGGACCGATATTACGTAACAATTCAATACTCTATTTTTGTTTCTAACGACATTTTCCTGTTTTTAGTACAGATTGAGTATTTTATTTTATCCGAAATTCTAAAATCCGAAAACCTCCAAAACCCGAAAGCTTTTCGGGTGTTGACCTGACTTGCCACAGAAATGAAACATTTCAGAAAGCAATATGGCTACCTCTAGCATGGTTACTGCGTTGCAACGTTACAAATAAAATGCTGACATTTTAGATTCATTACATTTAACTGTAATCAGGATGCATGCTTTGTTTTTTTGATGCATTTATATATTTTTCACTTTGTCATACAATTCCCTATATATATATATATATATATATATATATATATATATATATATATATATATATAAGCAAATATATCGATATAGATCCGACAGTATGAAGAAAAATATACTGAAAAAACAAACAAAAATCCTAATATGCGATTACGCTGTTTTAATATTTGATGTCAACGTCGGACGTTTCGGTCTAATAGACCATCTTCAGGACATATTCATAAAAGATAATTAACATAATTCTTCAGGACATATTCATAAAACATAATTAACATAATTAATTTATGTCCATCGTCTTTTTCATGTTGAATTGTATATGGTCTATGTTAATTATATTTTATGAATATGTCCTGAAGATGGTCTATTAGACCGAAACGTCCGACGTTGACATGAAACATTAAAACAGCATAATCGCATATTAGGATTTTTGTTTGTTTTTTCAGTATATTTTTCTTCATATATATATATATATATATATATATATATATATATATATGAAGAAATATAGTTTTAAGGGTGCTATATTTATGGTGCTCAATATCAGAGCTAGAGCGTTCGTAAATATAAATATAAAAGTGAACATTGAAGTCAACACTCAGGGGCGGCCTGACGATTGCTTTTAGCATGAAACAGCCTGTCGCCTCTGATATATATATATATGAAAAAATATAGTCTTAAGATGCGCCATATTCATGGGATAAAGTGCTCAATATCAGAGATAGAGCGTGTGCAAATATAAAAGTGAACACTGAAGTCAACACTTAGAGGCGACAGGCTGTTTCATGCTAGACGCAATCGTCAGGCCACCCGAATGAAACAGCCTGTCGCCTCTAAGCGTTGACTTCAATGTTCACTTTTATATATATATATATATATATATAGTCATCCACAGATAGACTGTTTCGCTGTATTACAGCTCATCAATGTGGCTAAGTCGGGATCGAAACCCGACCAATTTGGCATCAGTCAGAAATTCTACCCCCAAGCTATCGTCGCACGGCAGAGAGAAAAGGGAAATTTTAACGTTTATACTATGCGAAAGACGTCAGTAGCTAGGAGAGCTCGATTCGTGTAGAAGAGCGTTGCATTAGCAGCAGCGGATAGATAGGTAGATAAATAGATAGATAAATATAACTTAATAATAATTAAAAATATCCACTAAAGTGTTAAAAATTGATGTGATGGAAGCCGTGATATCTGGCTGAAGGGACTTCCTGCCTTTCAGTTGTTGTTTTTTTTATCAATTCACTCGAAGCAAGACTGGGAGTGAAAGAGAATGAAAGACTATAGAAGGAACGGGAAACCCAATCCTAACTAGAAAACAAGGGATTAGCCTGATCCTGTTTAAAAGACTGATAAGGAGAGTATATCGTGTGATAGGCGAATCTATCTACTCCTATTAAAGTTATTCTATTAATTTTTTTTATATTTAATTTATTTTTCAGACGATAATGCTCGTGTCTCGGTCTTAGAAAGATCTTAGCTGTTGTCATTGTCGTGGGAACGATGTTATTTTGAGATAAAAGGCCGAAAAAGTGTGTCTTCAGGACTTTAAAAGGTCTTCTGATAAAATATAAGTTTATTTGTTTAGTCTATGTTTTGTGACGTACAGTGGCCGTTATTGTTAAGTATAACTCAAATCTTCAATGTTAAATAAAACAGTATTTAATTACAACCGCAAATAAATAAAGAAACAAGTACAAAGAAGTAAAAGTCAAGCAAAGATAATTAACCATACTACATCCGCGTCCTGGGTAAGACGATAAACTACGTCCAGCAGCAAGGCCTCTGATCAGGAGGTTTTGAGGAGCATGGAACCACCTCTTAATTGCTGGTGTTCCCAGGTCCACCCTGACCCAGGGTGGTAGAACATGTTAGGGCCCCACCTATGGGCAAATAGTTAACACTCAGATTACATTCGCGTTCTGGGTATGACGATAAACTACATCCGCGCCCTGGGTAAAACGATAAACTACGTCCAACAGCAAGGTCTCTGATCAGGTTTTGAGAAGCGTGGAACCACCTCTTAATTGCTGGTGTTCTCAGGTCCACCCTGACCAGGGGTGGTAGCACCTTTTAGTGTCCCAGCTATGGGCAAATAGTTAACCCCGAAACTGCGGTAAAAATGGGTTTTGCTACCAGGAATACTTTGTAAAAAAAAAAAATTCTCAGCAATACATTTTTGAGAAAAATATTACCAACAATACGTTTAAAAAAAAAACAAAAAAAATATTACCAGCAATACATTTTTGAAAAAAAAAAAAATATTACCAACAATGTGTTTTTGAAAAAATATAACCAGCAATACATTTTTGAGGAAAAAAATTATTACCAGAAATAGATTTTTGACAAAACAAAATATTACCATCAATAAAAAAAACTTTGTCGGCATTAAATAACCCATTGAGGTTGATATGCTGTAAAACACAACAAACAAAACAAATCAAACCTTGTTATTAGCGCGGCTCGGCTTAAATCCTAAATCAAGACCCAAATCATCGATGCACAATAATTCACACCAATTCGACTGGATAGTTTCACTCAATAATCACTGTAGTCAGCAGCCTAACACCGCTGTTTATACACCTGGCGGTAAACATATTCATAAGTTCAGAGGGTCACGCTCGAATCTTATTTATTATATAGATATAATGTGCTTAGACACCAGTCGTTCCTTCAAATATGTTTTTATTAAAGGGTATAAATATTTTGTGTTTATTGAGTTTGTTTAACTTCCTCTCCAAATTATGGCAGTTGTTGAAGTACGAAATTTTCTAAGTTTTTATAATGGCTGTGATAAAGCAAAAGATCACTGATGCCATTGCTACCATTGATGAAGCTATGCTGCAGTGAACATGGCAAGAAATCGAGTACTGTGTGCTTCGTGCAACTAATGGTGCCCATATAGAAGTGTATTAAATTAGTTAAAGAACTTCAATATCTACTCTTCATTTTGTAACAATTTCCATATATTTGCCTGTTCATTTGCTTTTGTAATAAACTTTTTAAATTGTAAAGAGACTTTATGGACACCCTGTATATACATATGTGTGTGTGTGTGTGCGTGTGTGTGTGTGTGTGTGTGTGTGTGCTGTTAATACTCGCTCGTTTTGGGGAATGAAAATATTAATCGTGTCTTGAATTTGCCCTTGTTGAGGCAATAAATAATTGCGCTGCTTGTCAAGCGTAATAATCAATGCGCCAATCAAAGAATAATACCCAATACAATGGCAGATAATATTACATCACTGTGTGGAGTCATGATGATGATGTTGTGATTTAGTGAACTGTTCTTGGAAGTCCTTAAATATGAGCCCAAGCACTCCATAAATACTACTAACCTGGGCTAATTTGGAATTCATTCAACAGACGCCTATTGCTATTATTTACTTAAGAAATAAAGGCTTTCTTAGCACCCCATCCCACCCCGGCGGCAGAATGCACAACTCACACTACTGAACAATTTCAGTCAGTGTGCGTTTTCATGGACCAAAAGAACCCCAATTCTTGATTAGTTCGTAATACTTTCTTCTTTCAATCAGTTCTTTCATCCTTTGTTCCTTTGTTTCTTTGTTTCTTTTCTTCTTTCTATCTTTTCGTTCTTTACTTTCTTTCTTTTGTTTTTTGTTTCTTTCTTTCTATCTCATCTTTCTTCTTTTGTTTTCTTTCTTTCTTTTTCTTTTGTTTTTTCTTTCCTTCTTTTTATCTTTACTTTCTTTGTTTCTTTGCTTCTGTCCTTTCTTTCTTTTTTCTTTCTTTGTTTCTTTCTTTGTTTATTTGCCTTTTGCTTCTTTCTATCTGTTTTTTCTTTTCTTTTTTTCCTTTCTTTTTTCTTTCTTTATATCTGTTCTTTATTTGTTTCTTTTTTTGCTTCTTTCATTATTTCAATCTGTTCTTTCTTTTTTCTTTCTTTCTTTCTTTCTTTTTTCTTTCTTTTTTTCCTTTTTTCTTTCTATCTCTTCTTTCTTTCTTTGTTT